ATGGGGTCGGGGTGATGCCCACAGGGGGTTGGGCATGGCCGGGTCACTCTGGGGTGGTGGGCTGTGGGGTTGAGGTGGTGGCCATATGGTGCTGACCATGGCCGCGTGCCTGTGAGGTGGGGGGCTATGGGGTCAGGGTGATGCCCGCAGGGTGCTGGGCATGGCCGGGTGACCATGTGGTGGTGGGCTACGGGGTTGGGATGCTGGCCATAGGGTACTGGCCATGGCTGGGTCACCGTGAGGTGGTGGGCTGTGGGGTTGGGGTGATGGCCATGTGGTGCTGACCATGGCCAAGTGCCCATGGGGCGGTGGGCTGTGGGGTCGGGATGATGCCCACAGGGTGCTGGGCATGGCCGGGTGTCTGTGGGGTGGTGGGTTATGGGGTCGGGGTGATGCCCACAGGGTGAGGGGCATGGCCGGGTCACTCTGGGTTGGTGGCCTATGGGGTTGGGGTGATGGCCATAGGGTACTGGCCATGGTTGTGTCGCCGTGGTGTGGTGGGCTATGGGGTTGGGGTGATGGCCATAGGGTGTTGGGCATGGCCGGGTCACTCTGGGGTGGTGGGCTATAGGGTTGGGGTGATGGCCATAGGGCGCTGAGCATGGTTGTGTCGCCGTGGTGTGGTGGGCTATGGGGTTGGGGTGATGGCCATAGGGTGTTGAGCATGGCCGGGTTGCCGTGGTGTGGTGGGCTATGGGGTTGGCATTCCACCTGTGGGACCCGTGGGGTGCCGCAGCGGGGTCGGGGTGGGCGCAGCCCCCCGCTCACCCGGTGGCCGTGTCCCCACCAGCTCCCCGCTCTCCTTCAAGGACATCACGGCGCTGGAGCTGAGCTGCATGGCCGAGTACGGTGGCCCCGTCTTCCCCTACATCGCCTTCGGCGGTTACCCGGGTAAGCTCCAGGGCGGGCGGGATGTCACCCCGGGGGGACGGATGTCACCCGGGGTCCGGCTGGATGTCACCCGCTGTCCCCGCAGGCTCCGAGTACACGGAGGCGGAGGCGCTGATCGTCACCTACTCCCTCAACAACTTCCCCCGCGACGATCCCCGCCACGAATGGGCCCTCAGTTGGGAGAGCCGCTTCCTGGAGGTGGTGGGCGACTTCCAGCGCACCCACGGCCCCAACCTCTCCGTCACCTTCATGGCCGAGGTCAGGCGCCCACCAGGCCGGCGGGGGAAGGGATTGGGCACCCTTGGGTGCCAGACACCCCTCCTCTCACCCATCTCTCCTTCCCGCCAGCGCTCGTTGGAGGATGAGATCAACCGTACCACCGGGGAGGACATCCCCGTCTTCGCCGTCAGCTACTTGGTGGTCTTCGCCTACATCGCCCTGGCGCTGGGCGAGTACACGGCGTGGCGCCGCGTCCTGGTACGCGCCGGGGGAGGGGGGATACGGGGTGAAGCCGGCACCCACGGGTGCCCCTTTGGGTGCTGAGCGGGTGGGGCGTGTCTGCCCCCCTTCCCCACTGGCTGCAGGTGGAGTCGAAGGGGACGTTGGGGCTGGGGGGCATCGCGGTGGTGCTGGGGGCCGTCTTCGCCTCCATGGGGTTCCTGGCGCTGCTGGGGCTGCCTTCGTCCCTCATCATCCTCGAGGTCGTGCCCTTCCTCGTCCTCGCCGTGGGGGCAGACAACATCTTCATCTTCGTGCAGGAGTACCAGGTGGGTGGGCACGGGGGTCTCCGTGGGGTAGGTGGGCACAGGGACACTATGGGGACAGGTCCACGTGGGGCACCTGTGGGCAATGGGGGTCCCTGTGGGGCACATGGACACCCTTGGGGACAGGGTTCTCCATGGGGTAGGGGGGCACTTTTGGGTATTGGTGTCCCTGTGGGGCACAGGGGCATGGCTTCGTGCAGGAGTACCAGGTGGGTGGGCACGGGGGTCTCCGTGGGGTAGGTGGGCACAGGGACACTATGGGCTCCATGGGGCAGGGGCCACCTGTGGGCAATGGGGGTCCCTGTGGGGCACATGGACACCTTGGGGACAGGGTTCTCCATGGGGCAGGGGCCACCTGGGGGTGTTGGTGGTCCCCATGGGGCATGTGGGCAATTGGACACTGTGGGGACAGGGTTCTCCATGGGGCAAGGGGGCACCTGTGGGCAATGTGGGTCTCTGTGGGGCACATGGACACCTTGGGGACAGGGTTCTCCATGGGGCAGAGGCCACCTGTGGGTATTGGGGTCCCCATGGGGCATGTGGACACTGGGACACCTTTGGGGACTGGGGTCCCTGTGGGGCAGAGGGGCACAGGGACACCGTGGGGACGGGGGTCCCCATGGGGCAGGGGGGCACCTGTGGGCGATGGGGGTCCCTGTGTGGCACAGGGACATCATTTGGGGACGGTGGTCCCCGCGGGCCACGGTCTCACCTGTGGGTATTGAGGTCCCCATGGGGCAGGGGTGCACCCTTGGG